ATCAAGTATGAATGCACGAACAGACATCAAGAAGTTATTATTACACGCCTCCGGTTTAATTGCACAGGTCTAAATGGACATCTGTACCAAATAAAAGTACACCCAAATGGTGAATGCAGCCATTGTTCAAATTTTTGAAGACCCAGAACACGCTTTCATGGAATGTACATATTACCAAAGAGATCAAGCAGCCATAAAACAACAGATGGGTAACATAAAAGTTCCTTTTACCTACCTCTCTCTATTAACTACGAATTGTCTCTATCCCGAAATAAATAACTTCGTTATAACAAATAACATAAAAAAAATTTAATGTCCTTTTCTTTTTATTAATAGGGCTACTTCTTTTATCCTTGTCTCCAACGGCTGGAGTCGCCCCCAGTCGAGAAGTACTAACTATGTAAACGTTTTCCATATGCATTCTTCCAGTAACATGACATTGTAGGATTTTTAGTGTAACACAATTAACTACAACAAAAAAACAAAAAAAAAGTATATTAAAAAAAAAAATTGTGAATATGTAACTACTAACTTCTCCTTCATGCTAAATGGCAGTGATGAAGGTATCTAGTTCAACTAAATCAGATCAGGGAATTTGGGGGCATATCATCTGCTGATAGCGCCCCCATAACTCGCAAATAATAAAAATAAAATAAAAATTCTATTCCCTTATAGTGATGGCACACGACGAGACGCACATTCGGCATGTAATGCTGTTTGAATACAAGAAGGGAAACAACGCCTTATCCACAAAGAATATCAAAGAAGATTATGGAAATGTTTTGAACGTTCGTAGGTGTCAACGATGGTTCAGGAAATTTCGTTCAGTTGATTTTAGCTTTAAACTGTGATGGCAGGGGCCGATATGTTGGAATTGATATTGATGCCTTGAAGACTTTTTTGAATCTAACCCAAGACAACACACTTGTCAAATGGCCCTGAAATTGCGTGTCTGTCATGAAACAATACGTAAACATCTAAGGAATATGGGAAAACTCCATAAAGAAGGTGTTTGGGTGCCTCAAGAACTCTCCGATGATCGTCGTTTTCAACGTATGAACGTTGCTTCGTCTCTTCTGGCGGGTGAACCATTTTTGGACAGAATTGTCACCGGTGATGAAAAATGGATTCTCTATGGAAATATTAAACGCCAAACTAATGGACCAGTCCTAGATTAAAAAACAAACAGTTCCGACCCCAAAACCTCGACTTTATTCGCAGAAAGTGATGCTTTATACTTGGTGAGAAATCAAAGGAGTAATTCATTTCGAACTCTTCAATCCACAGCGAACTGTCAATGCAGAGATCTATAGTTAGCAACTGGAACGTTTAAATCAAGTCAGGAACGCCCTTCACTCGTCAATCTGAAAGGTGTTCTTCTTCTCCACGACAATGCACGTCCACATGTGGAACGTTTGACACAACACAAGATTATGGAGTTGGGTTGGAAAGTTCTTTCCCAACCACCATATTCTCCAGATAAGGCACCATCAGATTACTATCTTTTTCGTTCACTGCAGCGCCATCTTAACGGGAAAACATATGCAAATGTGGAAGGTGTTAAAGAGAACATCTACACGTTTTTTTGCTTGAAAGCCAAGTGATCTATTTAATCAGGGCATTAACAACCTGATTGTTAGATGGAAAAGTATCATCGATAAGAATGGAGAATCTTTCTTTTAATAAATGTTTTATTTTGATATATAAGTTGTTCGGGTTTTCTTAATATATTGCGACCTGATATATTGCTGTGAAATGTCGTGATCTTGTATAATCTGTAAGAGTGCTCACATCAGGTAAAATTTTATCTGGACAAGTAGATATATTTAATGACTACAATTTAGTAATTAACATAATTTTACTATTGCCGTACGAATTATTGAATGTCTTTTTTTCTAGTACAAAAAAAAAAAAGAAGAAAAAAGAATAAGATATTGATACATTAAATATTTCTTATTTTACATAACTATAGAATAAAACTAGATTGTATAAATTTACTTTACTACAGTCACGAAGGAAAGGTCCTGTCTTCCTATATCTCCTGGACCAACAGACTGTGCTCAAGTGTTTCTAAATGGACACCGTACAAGTGGAGTGTACCGTATTTGGCCCACACCATGGGAGACTGTGGGAAGTTTAAATGTTTATTGTGATATGAATACTGATGGAGGAGGTTGGACTGTAAGTAGTTGGACTTTACTGATGAACGGTAGATTGAGGCTTTCTTTAATATTTTTACTGATGTAAACATGTTTTAACCTTCTTCAAACATGAAAGACTATCATTTAATAACATTACATACACGTATCTTAATTTTTCATTCTTTAATTTTAAATATAATTATAAGTCGGAGATTATAACAGTCTTGAGTGATGGAAATGTATAATGAGAAAGTATAAATAGTCCTAATGTAATTTGGACTTTCCCAGCAGTATAGAAAAAGCTGTGAACCATACTGATAATTGTGACATTGCATTTAGCTTGCGTCAATTCTCTTCCATATACAGTTAAACTAAGAGACAAATTATATATCTTCGTTTAGCTACTGTACGAGGAATATTGAGAATAAAACAGTTTTTAGGCGCTTAGAAACATTAAATAAAAGGAATACATTTAAAATGTGCAAAATAATTAAATAGAAATGTATCATCGAAGTAATTAAGCACCTAACAATAGTTGCTGATATAGGATTTGTTTACGATACTGAACAAATGGACATTTATTGAAATGCTGTTGAGAATAAGTCTAGGAATCATATCAGTTAGCTAAAGTAAAATTTAAAGTACGAGAAAAAAAATTGGGTAAATGACATTAATAAACTTTTTACAGACAAAATAAAGTTTGAAACACAAAATGTTAAAGCAATTTCATTAAACCCAATGTTTAAACCTACAATACATTTAGACAGTCACTTACAATGATTCACAGTAGCGACTGAGGAAGCCATTGGACTGTGTCGAAGCGTATAGTAAATTTTCAACCTTTGGTTTGAATAAAATTGTTTTAATCTTCTGTGTTGTAGACTTCCTGATGTATCAGTAAAAACGTTCTTAGCCGCGATAAAAACCAAATTTTTTTTAAATATGTCTCGCACCTCTATTATCGTACGTCAAGTACATAATTTTGTTTTGGTTAACACATGATTAATTACTATATTTAATTAAAGGTTATCCAAAGAAGAGGAGATTATGGAAACCCCACAGACTACTTTTACAAACCTTGGCAGAATTATAAGCAGGGATTCGGGAACATTGCAAAGGATTTTTGGCTAGGTATGTTCCTTGTAATGTTGATAATCACTCTCCTCTAACGAAATCTACTCAAGGAAATGAAGGTATGTTACAAAAGGCAGGGTAATCGCTTTATACTTGAATTATGAGGAAACTGATTAATCTATTTGCATCATATTTTCAGTGGATGATATTGAACTTGTATAATTCCAAAATTACATCTTAAGATACGACTTTGTTTCATTAATTCTTGCACAATATAATTCAAACAAGTTATTTTCGTTTCAAATTTATATTTTTTAAATTAATAAAATTGATTTGATTTTTTAGTTAACACTCTTTTATTAACATTCAGAATTGCTTAAAATATTTTAGAAAAAATAAACCAGAATTTCATGCACTTTTCGTGTAATAATGGAATGGATTATACGCACAGAAGGAAAAGTATCATGATATGTGATTGAAATATAAATCATTATTCAGGTTAATCGATATATAGTTTGAGGCCATTTTAGCTTTACTATTTTTATGTCGTAAATTGATAAAGTGAAGATAATTCTACTGGATTTAATCTGTACATTTTAGTTTATACATTAATCTTCACTCCGATAAACTGTAATGTCATCGAGTCATCGGAAGGGAAACTGTTTTGTCGTTTTCAACGAGTTGGTGTCAGATTATGAATTTGTTTTTACTGTAATCGTAGAAACTGTAGTGTATAATTATATAAAATCTAATGCATAATTTTCTCTCAGTTTTATCATTGACAACTAACTGTATTTCATGTTTTATCTTTAGAACACTAATGAACAGGATCTTTAAAGAATTTTTACATATTATTTATGTTTTTTTACTGTAATCGTAAAAACTGTGTACAATTATCTAATATATAATATTTTCTCAATCATAACAATGCCTGTTTTTGATGTTTTATCTTTAGAACGCTAATGAACAGTAAGTTTAAAAAATGCAAATTATTTATATACATAAAAGTTGATTTTATTTCGTATGCTTTACGAAAAAACAAGATTTCTGTATAAATGAAAAAAATGTATTGCATAAGCTTTCTTATCCATGGCAGTATCCTCATTTCAAGCAATTTACATGTTCTTTTATTTTTAGAGGATATCGATATTATAAAATATAAATATATTTTATATTTAAATATACTATAAAGTTAGTTTTTTGACTTTGTTTTAGATGTTTTACAGTTTTATCTACCTAATCCTACAATGGCGAAAGTTTACATAAATGTTGAAAAGAAATAATTTACTTTTAACTTTATTCAAATCTCTATTTTTATTTTATCAAGGAAATGACTGGATATTTGCCATAACGAACCAAGGAAACTATTCTATCCGGTTTGACTTAAAGGACAAAGAAAATAACACGCGCTACGCCATTTACCAAAATTTTTGGATCGACAACGAGAGTCATCTATATCGCTTGCATGTAAATAGCTACAGCGGGGATGCTGGTAAGATTCAATCGATATGTGAGCTTGTTTGTTTACATTTTACAGTAGATTCACTGACAGGTGTGAAAATTTTCATTTATTTCTGAAGTGAATCTGTTATTCGTAAACACTATTTGTGAATTTTCTCTTGAGTCCAGTGGACTAATTTTTGGGATGCTCTCAAAACTTCGTTAAGTTCCAACTTTGAGATATATATTTTTCAATATAAAACTAAGCCATATATTTGATAGCTACTTATTTGATTCTTTACTTCCCATAATACTGTTTGTTTGTCGTTTAGCACAAAGCTATATAATGGACTACCTGTGCTGTGCCCACCACGAATATCGAAACCCGGTTTTAAGTACTATAAGCCTTCAGACTTAAAACTAAGCCACTTGGGGGCTGTCTCAATATGCTTATAACGCTTTAATAAGAATTGAAGAAGCAAAACTTTTCATATCCGCCGTTAGATGTAAAGAAAGAGAATGAGAGAGAGAGAGAGACTCGCACACAAATCAGAATTTGTACATCAAGCCGAACCAACAGTTTACTCCAAGGAAAAAAAAAATCACTGACAACTCTTTCTTTGCTTTTATGAACTGTATTATTTATATTATAATCTCAACCTTAATTTTATACCACATTATAGACGTTTTAATCTTGATACCATAACCTGGTAAAACCAATAGCACAATTTTATTATGTTACTAGACAAAATCGTTGTTTACTTAGTAATAACTTTCCATTAGTTGAACTATGTTACAGTTGCGTTGATACTAATATTTCAAGTGTTGCAATGTCAACATTTATAATTTACTAACGTTGTTACATATTACTTGTAGGACCATATTTTGAAAATTTGTTCTCTTTAATAGTCATTATGAAAAAAATAGTCGTAAAACAATTTATATAATCTAAATATTATGATTGAACACTGTTTAAACTACCCTACAATGTAAAGTTAAAAAGAATAACATGTTAACAGGATATTGAATTATGACACCATAATCTATTAATTACACTTGCAAAAATTAGGACAAAACACTTGTTTTTTGTGGACCTAAGATGTTGTCATTATTTTACAGGTGACAGTTTTGGGCATCACAGCGGTTATAACTTCTCTACCAAAGACAGGGATCACGATACTTATGACACCAGCTGTGCACAAAAGTTCAAAGGAGGTTGGTGGTACCTTAATTGTCATGGGTCAAACTTAAACGGACTCTACCTCAATGGTGAGCATGAAAGCTATGCTGATGGAATAAACTGGAAAGAATGGAAAGGTTATCATTACTCTCTTACAGAAGTGGAAATGAAGATACGACCTCTCAACTTTGACCCCTTCGAAAGGGAAACCGTTTAAAGTGTATAATGTGAAATAACAAAATCTCGTTAATCAGTCATTATTTGCTCTGTTGTTCATCTAACATATACTATTTTCTAAAATCATTTCTAAAGAGCCATACTTCGAAATTAGATACAAAAATAGTTAAAAGCCAGTTAATAAAAGTTTCGCACGGATATTTCTTACAACATATTTTTTTCTCTATATGATATTATGGAACATTATACTATTATTGTTGCCACATATTTACTATATCCTAAAGAACTTGAAGTTATATTACGAATAAGCACTGTTATTCAGAAATTATAAAAACTCAAGACCTACGTGTACAAGATAAAAAAAAATTCGGAAGAAACGTTTAGTTGTAAGGCTGCTTTAATTATATTTTTCTGGAGTATCTCCTGCGTATTAATACAATCAGATGTAGTTTAAGGGTTAACGTGTTGAGCTGCGGAATGGAACAATAGAAGTTCGAGGTCGCGATATGTTGGTAAACACGCTTCTAACTTTTATATGTGGGTACATTTTAAAAGTGGCAGTCATTACCGATGGAGGTGGAAAGTATCACTAAGATAAGAACGGCTAAACCCGAGTTTGAATCTCTGATTTGATCGATTTGTTTATCCTGTCGGATAAGGTACTTTTTAGAGTGAAAATAGCAAGTATCTAAACTTTTCATACAACGTAAGTTTTCTCTAACTTTCTGCTGGCTTCTTTTAACGTATATCATTTAGCCTGGTAGAAGGAATGTTATTTTAAATCATTGTTATTTCTTCATAGTTGACGTGCCTGCTAGAAACTCGCTTCAAAGCGCTTTACTTGAACATAAATGCTGCATTTGTTCATTCTCTTTTTTTTCTTTTGTGTCATGTTAGAACTTTTAAATTAATAATCATATTTAATCTGTTTTTTGAATTAGATACTTTTAAGTTATTTCTCCCTTTTGTTCTCATATAGATGATAAAAAATGCGAAAACGCAAAGGAAAATGCTTAAGACAAACAAGATGGTTAACTGCAGAAGTTCTGCTTCGAAATTTCCCTGGTTTACTGCAGGGAAATATTATAAGTTCAGAAACAAATTACAAAATTCAAACACTTTCTGAATTAGTTTCTCTCTAATTTCACCACATCACTTACAAAATAGGCTGCCTTATTTTTCTCTTCTCAGTCAGTGCACTTTATAACTTGTGCATATCATACTACAGTTTGACATACATATACACTATAGGATATTTTATCATGTTTTACGCATACTCACTTTGGAGAATAAGGGATGTAAGAAGTAGATTAAATATATTCTAACTGTCATGATTGAATAGATTTTCACCGCATCAACTGAATATGTAGTAATCATTATGGCTTTCCATTCGACCTTTTCATAATATCGCGTATACTACAACCTTCCCTATGTCAGTAGAATAGTTGATATTATACCAGCAGATATCACTCTTTTCTAATCTATTCATAAGCATGGTAAATCATAGGTATATTGACACCTTATTTATTTATTATCGGGATAGTTGATAGTATACCGATATCACTCTTTCGTCAGTTATATATTAGCAGGATAGGTGATAAGTATCTTGAAAGATATTATCCTTTTCTTTTTTATGCACCAGCAGGATAGTCAATTTCTAGGTATACCGACGGATATCACTGTCTTCAGTTATTTATGAGCACGATAACTGATAGACACGTTACTAGCTGAGCATAGCGTGATGATTGCAGGGAACTTCTTAATACTTAGGCATTGAAATTGAAAGCTAAAAGAGAATTCGATGACGGGGAACCCACGTTGAGACTAATAATGGCTGGAGACGGCTTGAATGGGTAATGAAGAAAAACTTTAATATAAGTTTAACATAACAGCAAATGTACAACGTTTAGACAAGGTTTTGTCATCACGTGTTTTTCAACTGTTGAAACAGTAATAGGATATCCTTTGATCTAAAGATAGTCAAGAAGGTTTTGAATATCAATAGAATACTTAGGGAGCACGTTGGAAAGTTCCTATTAAAATACTATTATATAGTGTTATGAAGTGAGGTGTAAATAACACTGGTTGGAGTTGTAAGAAGCGAGAAAGTGGCCGAATTTGGTTAGTATTTAAGGGATTATAGCACTTTGAGTCATTAAAAAAATTATTGGAGTGAGCAGACACCCTTCTTGCTTATCCAGTGTGGAGATTAAAAGCCTCCACCCCCCGAAGCGAACTGTTCAGCGTAGGTATGAGAAAGGAATATAAATCTTAATTTAACAAAAACAGGGAAGACCAGGAGATGTGAGAAAGAACGAATAAATTGAGAAAGGCAAAGGAAGAAAGTCATAGGTTAGCAGTAAGAAACAAAAACTATTCCTAATACTATGTGTTATTGATTATACTAATTTACAGCAATTTATTTTTTTTACGTTGGTATGAGTCAAATCGTAAATAAAGTACATGGATGCAAATGAAGTTCGAGTATAACATGATCGTAACACTGTGATATCAGAAGTGGGACTTAGGAATCGAAACCCAACAATGAAAGAAAACTTTGTAGCTGGAACCACATCAACAAAAGCCGAGGAAAGAGATTAGGTTTCCTACTGGTTTTTATCTTGCCTGATTTGGATCTGAAGTTGGCTCAATTAATTCTTATTGGTTAAGAAGAGAGAATTAATGAGTGGATGAGAATTTGAAATCACTAAGAAAAATTTAGTTGGTAAATCGATATAGAGAATTGGGTATAACATGTATTAGCAATTGGTAAAATATGAGATACGTGAAGTTTGAATTGATATGGAAGTGAAAATAGTTATTTTTTTTCAATAATGAGTCTAGTGAAAATACGAGAAAGTTATCTTAGTAACGATTTAGAACTTGCTAAGATACAGTCAAAAGTATAATGCTTAGAAGCTGAGAATTAACACTTGGAAGTAAAAGCTGAGAAAAAGAGCTTTGAAATAAAAGTTGAGAATAAACATTTAGAGCTAGATATGTATAAGCAGAGATAATACGTGTTGAAGATGAGTGGAAGGCATGGTAAGTCTGGTGATATGGTTGTCATGCATGAAAGAAGTACCCATGTGCAGTTGCTTATATTTTGAAAGTCATATATATATGTGTGTGTGTGTGTGTATTTCTCTGTTTTTAGAAAAAAATTGCTAGAGCAGAAGAATAGTAGGCATTAGATATAGTGAGTGTATGGTGTTAGCAGCAGACACTAAGACTGGGAAACAGAAGAACTAAAGTATGATGTAGGTAAATCAGCTATTTTAGAGAGGTATGAGTTAAGTGTGGAGACGCATCACAGGAAGTACAAATAGTTAGAAAAAAGGCAGTAAATGAGTTATTTAAATAGTTTGATTATACACCGGAATTTTGGAGTTTGGAATAACATTGAGATTAGACAGAAACAAAGTTTTTGAAGTATGGTGTAAGGATTGTCAATTGAAGTTGAGAGAGGTGAGAAAGCGGCCAGCTTTGGCTCTGTCTCTCAGAATTATGAAATTATAGAGCTCTAAATCGTTAGAAGTTTATCAGAATGAGCGACCACCTTTCTTGTTCAGCTGATATGGAGATTACAATACCAATAAGTCTAATGAAACATTATAATTCGATCTACAGAAAACAGATGTGAAAGGTCAAAATAAAGTTACTCGTTCAGCATGGTTTTGAGGAAAGAATATAAAAGACAGGTGTTTAACAAAGAAGAGTGAAGAGCAAGAGCTGTTTCTAATTCTATGTTATGTATAATTTGGTATGAAGCAGTTGTTGATTCGAATAAGTACAACATAAATAAAGTTAATGACGTAAGAAGGGTTTGATTTGGTTGTTTGGTGCTTAATGGTGCAAAACAGCGCCAAACAAGTAAAAATGCCAGAAGGAAAATACTATAAAATGAAAAACAAAACAAGTTAAAAGCTAAAAAATACTCCAAAATGAGGTGTACAGCTAAATGGCTCTCGAAAATTTAAAAACACAGTCAAGCTAGTCAGTGTCATTATCGTCAATGATACTGTTCAACGTAAAGGATAAATCCTGAGGAAAAACATGTATAAAAGGGTGCTGCCATTCGCAGTTGTAACGACAGCATGAAAGTAAGATATATACAATTGTGACTTGATTGTCACAAAGGCCACACATTGGCGGATCAGTCCCACATTAAAGAAAATGATGAATTAAAAACTTTGACCAATGTATAGCCTAGAGAGCACAGCTTTCTCTTTAATCCTTACAGAAACTAAATCGTGAAACAACAACTGTAGGTTTGATTAAAAAAAAAAACACTTGTTACGAAGTTGCTCACACCAAATCGACTGCCAACTGGCGCGAAGCCAGGCCTTGACCATAGTCCATATATGGGACAGGCACAGCTGTGACAACCCCAGAGGATAGAGACTTACCTGCAGGGTCAGCATGCTCATTCCATAGAATACATAAATGGCCATGTATCCAGAAAAACTAGATAGAAACGGATGACAGAGAAAACTGACTCAGTCATTTCTGAATGTTGAAGAAAACTGGGTGAGAACTTGCATTAAGTGATTCCATGGCCAGTAAAGAGCTAAGTAAGTCAGTGTAAATAGTATAATCAGTGTACTGCTTAGCTTCTATGTGGTCCAAGGCAAGCAAAATGGCATACAACTCTGCAGTGGACACAGAAACTGTAGAGGGGATCCTGTGAGCAACCACTTAGCCACAACAAACCATGGCAGAGCTCATAGAGTTACCTGTTTTCAAACCATCCATAAAAACCGGACACTGAATAATGGTTCAAAAGATGTTCGGCAAAGAGAAGATAGTATTTCCAATCGGGAGTATCTGCCTTCTTCAGATGACTCAAAGAAAGGTCACAGGTGGGGTGGTAACAAGCCATGGTGGAATGGGATGGTCATCAGATCCAGCAACATCATCCAATGACAGACCCAATTCAGCCAGCTTTGCCTGAATACAGAGGCCAAATGGAGGAATGACTGACCATCTATTCATAAAGAGTACAGTTCGCTGAGGAAGGAAGACACAACTCCAAGTGGCGTGCCATGGTAAGGATCCAAGCTTTATTGCATATTGCAAA